ATAGTTTGTGACAATTTCTCAGACTTTCCTTGTTTTTCCTGAGTAGCACTAGCCAGGTATCCTGGGGAATATCTCCAGAGTTAGGTTTGTCTGATGTTTTTCTCATGATGTAAAAGTTTTTGGAAAGAATACCATAGAGGTGAAGTACCCTTCTAGTCACATCAGATGAATGTGTTTGGATGGAACTAGAGGGTATTATGCTATGTGAAATAAGTGCTATGGTGTATCTCCATTTTTTAGAATAGCTGCTCCAGTTAACAGAGATTGAACTAGAATGGAGGGTGCATGATCCATCCAGCATCAGAACACATTAAAGTAGACAGAGTACAGGAAATTAGGAAGTATGATGGGAGGCCAGCAATGGAACTCCATCTCTTATAGGTAAGCCATCTGAACTGAGAGTCAAGAGACAAAGGTTCTATTCCAGGTTCATCCACTAACTAGTCTCTAGGGAAGGCAACTAGTGTTAGTTTCTTCTGTACAATTTAGAAGTTGATATCTGGGGCTATTTCTAGTCCTGAAATTATGTGATTCTAAAACTCTGGAGTGGGTTTTAATTGGTTAAATATTGTCCACAGTTTCGTTTCCTAAAGAGGAATGTGTTGTAATGCCGAGTAAGACACCACCCAAATGTCTGGGTTTTGGCAAAGGAGGATGGCAGAGAGGCAGCTCTGCTTCATTATTTGGCCTTTATGATACTTGTTATATCCTAAGAATGTCAAGCACCTGGCAGATAGAAAACAAATGTTAAAAACTCAGAAGAAAATTCAACTCATTTACTCATCTTTGTTCCTGGGACTCGACCGCTGTGCTTTCCATTACAATAGAGTAAGAAGTGAATGATGGAATTTATTTTTGAAATCTCAGAAGGAGTGCACATTTTAGTACTTTTAAAAATCTATTAATGTTGTCCCTTTGTGTAACTCTAACTGGATTTAGGTGGAAGACTGGCTTGCAATGTTGGATATTCTAAGTTGCCAATAATTTGTACAGAGCCTGTGATTGCAAAACCACAAAAATTTCACAATAGCGGAAACCTCTAATTAATCAAAATAAGTGGCAGGGTGGATTTGTTTTAAATATATGGTTAATAATGCTTATTGCTTTAAGATCATAAACTGAGAGATTCTTTATTGAGCTGAGATAGGGGGCTGCAGATAGTTTTGCAAAATCCTTTTCCACATCTGTGTGTCAAGTCTGACCCAGAACATTCTACTAATATTGGATCAAACTCTCCTCTGATGTAACTTGCCTGTGGGAATTGTATTGGCTGTGAAACCGGCTCCCCTTAGTAACTGGTGTAAAAAAAAAAAAAAAAAAAAAAATTTTTAAATCACAATTCTGTGGTTTGTTTTGAATGACTGAAGCCAGGTTCCTAGGCCCTGAGACAAGAAAGAATGTCAAATGGGACCTTTAATGTGTATTTATATTTAAACATCAGACCTAACAGAAAACCCTGAAGCTTTATACAATGATTGGAGCCTTGTAAGAACCTAATTAATGTATCTTCGGGTGAATGGTTGGCCTGGCACGCGAGCTGTCCCGAGGTACTCAAGGGGGTTCAGGTACCGCCTGGAAGAATAGATGTGGTTGTAGTGATTCAGTGGCCCCTCTGAAAGGGACATGTAAAGGCAGCTTTGTCTGGCATGCCGCCTTTTCAGACTCATTTGATAATGCTAGTATCAGTTTCAACTGAAGCGTGGGCCAGATTGCAGCTAGCTTGAGCTGGCATTTCAAAGCAGTTAATTGTGAAACTTGAGAAGAGAATGTGCACATTCTTCCTAAGGTGGCTATTCACATGCAGTCTCCCCCACCCCCCGCCCCACCAGAGCTCCAGTCTCACTTTTGTTCAGTTTCCACATAAAATAAATGAGGAACCCTGAGCCTTTCCCTTGGTGGCTCCTATATCACTGTCTTTGCTGGGACTGCTTTGCCTTGTTAAAATGTGCCCCGTGTATTAAAATGAAATTGTCACTGCTGGGTGGTGCAGCATAACATGGTTTGACGCTAAGCGCCGGCAGCTACAGAAAACAGACTTTTATTGCACTTATTCTTTCAGAGAGGAGAGTCTCTAAAGGCTTAATGCAGACATTCACTTAGTTAAATCTGAATGAAGCCAAAGTGAACAATCTATGCCGCTGTCTTTGTGTTCCTAGAAACAGCCCCCATCCAGCTTGATATGGATGTAAAATAGTCTTAAGAAAAGATGATCATACTTAGAATCCAAGAGTGAAGATTTGAGGCTTTCAATCCAGAGCAAAAATAGTTTAGGTGGGTAGAGTTGGTGAGCCACTTGATTTTCTACTTTAGCTTCTTCTGTATTTCCTAAAACACATATAGAATCAACAAACACGTGCACGCGCACACACACACACCCCAGTCTAGTTTTAGTCTTCATTTAAAATTCCATGTCATTTTAAGACAAAGAGAAAGGATTTGATTTGTAGGACTCTTGCAAGCAAGCTTTAGATTCTTAACTGCCTTTTATCTAGATGAGTATCCAGAGAGAGATTGAACAAGGAGGGGGGCTCTGGGGCATAAGCTTTTCATTCTGTAGCTCTCCTGGAATAAAAATTCCAGAAAGTGACATCTGTAGTAATTAAGGGCTTACATTTCCTCTCCCATTCATGTCTCTGATAGGAGGGAAGGTTATTGTCCCTAAGAGACAATAGATAGTAGATCCTGTGGGAAGACAGAGAACAGAATTAGAATTCTTTTGTTCCTAGAAATGCAAGTTTCCTACTTCAAAATAATAATAATAATAATAATAATAACAGGTAGGAAGATTTACTGTAAAGGATTCCATGGAAAGAAAAACTTGAAGGAGTTAGGAAAATTGTACTTAGCTATTCCTAAATATTTGGAGTAGAGAAAGATTCATCTTGCCTTTCTAGCCCAAATATCTTCTGAGTTGGAGGGACTTGTGATTAAGCAGTGAACAAAATGCTCTCTTTGTTTTTATTTTTATTTATTAAAATTGTATGTTATTAAGCTTAAAGAGGTTTAGTTGTTTTTTCCCCCCACATTTGGATATAAAATTGATTCATTCTTTACATGTTTTTCAAAATAACACCTATGTGGATCCACTGGGCCATTTGATAAATGAATAATAACCTATTGGTTTCCTGCACTTTCTTGCCATAGCAGGACCAGTGACATAATTTGTGGGACCCAGTGAAAGATAAAAATGCAGGACCCTTATTAGAAAATCATTAAGAATTTCAAGATGGTGCCAGCAGAGTTTTGAACCAAGTACAGACTTATTCTGTCTGTGGCTCTGTCCTTCTGCACTGGTCTCATGCCAGGGAAGTCAATTTTGCTTGGTAGGTAGAGATTTGCCATTTATATGTGTCTCTATACAGAAAGATGTGCCTCCATCCCATGCCTCATAGGAATATACATCAGAAAAGACCCTTTTTTAAAAAATATTGACTCAGAAAATAATGACAGCTCCCCCATTGGAACATGCTCCTGATACCATCTAGAATTTCTTAACCTGATAATTCAGGTGCCCTTGTCTGCATCTCTCAGCTTATCTTCAAGAGTACCCCAAACCCCCTTGAATCTCCCACACAGGCACAGTGTTCTGCTCACCTCAGCCCCTCTAAAAGGACACAGGGCCTGGTCAGCTCCCTGCCCTAATGACTTCTCTAAGGGCCCTTATGGCCTCCTGTGCCCACTTCTCAGTGATTCCCTGGTTCCTGGAATTCCTCTCACATTTGAATTCCTGTAGCTGTAATAAATGTGTAACTTATTTGGTGTTTGTTTACATATTTTCCCTTATCTTACTTCCTGTGCATGTAATAGGCTCCTGAAAACACACTTAAGATTTAGGTGTAGGGAAGTTTTATAACTTGAGTTAAAAGGCTCCATTCCAAGAAAGCTCATATTAATAACACAGCAGAAAATCCAAAATTATACTTTGCCTTTTAGACAAACTTCACACATTTCATCCACATTCTTTAATATGTGTGTGAGCTGTTTTTTAAATTTGTATTTGCCTCTAGTGTACTGTTTGGGGGACTTAATTTCCTTTAATCAGAATCAGCCCTTTAATTTTTATCTTCCCCATCCAATGTTATAAAATAAAGCCCTGGTATAGTTAATTATTTAGAAAATGTTGCCAATACTAGTCTACTTAGGATAGGGCAACACTACCAATGTTGACATTATGATGGTATAGTTCAAAATGTTCATTCATTAGCTTGCAAGTAAGTTGCCAAAATTTGACCCAAGAAACCTAGTTTAGGAATATGGATATCTAGTATGAAAAAAGAGAGGATTTCCAAAATTCAAAGTGAAGAAAGTTCAGGAGTTGAGGTTTATGTTTATGTTCTCTGCTCACATTTGGGACCCCAAATAATTCTCTTTTGTACCTTCACCCAGTGGGTTTTCAATAAAAATGTCAAGGTGTTTGTGACAACACTACTATATTAATCATCACATTAGACTGCACAAAGTGGAAATAACAGCACATCTCCTCAGCTTGTTTTGTGGAGTCCCTCAGCACAATAGCTTAGTAGTTATAGTTCGGCTTTGGTGTTAGACAAGCCTTAGTTAAAATCTCAACTCTGCCACTCATTGCCAAGGTCGTTCGTCTGTGTAAGCCTCAGAGCCTTCGATGTAAAGGGCAACAAGACCTATCTTTCAGGTTTGCTAATTCAGACATGCAACAGATATTTATGGAGCACTTTCAAATGCTAGACAGTGTTTTGTGGATTAAGTAAGACAATGTTTCAGTATGACTTCTAGGAGAGGAATCAGCATAGAGCCGTCCACATAGGCAACTTTCAATGCAGTAAATAAATACCTGCTCTAAGCAATGGTGAGTTTGTGATATTTTGATCATGGTGGTCCTGGCAACAGTTGACAAGTCTTGTAGAATTCTCAAATCAAGCTTTTCCATGGCTTTCCTATTTTCGTTTTCATTTTTATTTACTTTTCCTGAATATACACAACCTTAGGAAAGTATATGATCCCTTGTTTACCTCTTTTTCCAGAATGGAGTCTACTGAAAAATGTGAAGTGGTAATTCAACATTTTAATGGAAAATATCTGAAAACACCACCAGGCATCCCAGGTAAGAAATACCATTAAATAATCATTCATTTTTGTCTAAGCTAATTGCTATTATTAAAATAAGTACACGGTAAAGCCCTTGGTTGGTCACGGGGAATGAAAAAGTTACTTTTGTAATTGTGTGTTTTTAAATAATAAGTAGCAACTTATCTTTCTCAAAACTACCAAAAGCTTCTTGGTGATTCTTCTTTGGCCTTTCTTTTGACTCTCTGCTGCTGATTGTCTGAAGTGAATTGGAAGAGAAACAACAAAGAATAGTTTAAAATGCACTTCAAGTGAAGGAAGTTCATGACTCCTGTTTCTATTTTATAATGTACCTATCTAAACAGTGATAGTCACAGTGAAGTACACTGATTGATGCCAGTTTCCAAACATGTCTTATCAGTCCATCACAAGAAGGGAACAGAGAATGAGAGGAAGCATTTAGAAATGTTTTTTGGGTTTTTGTTTGTTTGTTTTTTTTTGCATTTAGAAATTTTATAGCAATTTGACATTGCCATGAAATCTGAATGCATAATTTCGTATTTTTAAAAAAATATGTTACTGACATATTGATTTTTTTTTGTAAACTGTCCACTCATCAGAGATAGTTTGAGAAGCACCAATCTTGACTGTCCCATTTCACATTTCCCAAGGCAAAATCCTTAAACTTTTATACACATCATAAGATGATATAACTTTCTGCTATTAAAAACTACATTCAACATAAAGAATTGAATATATCACATGTGTCTGGACTTAAGCTGCAATGCCTCAACTTGCTATTAATCTGGTAGCAGTATATATGGCAAGTGTTTAATATTAAGTGAGTAGATTTAAAAATATATCTTACTCATGCATAAAAATACTCGAGATTGAACGAAGTGCTAAAAAGGAAGAATTATAATGAGTGGATAAAGAAATGTCTGACTAATCCATATTTGTTTATTGATTGCTCTTTCATTTTTGGAGCTTCTCAGGGGACAAATATGACTTCTTCAGTCTTATATTTTCCTTTTGATTTTTTTAAGCTGGACTTCTATAGTGTTTGCTATGTAATGTGTCTGCTATTTAAAACACGTGGTTAGAGAGTTCAGGGGTTAAATATTTCAGTTCCTTAAAATGTATTGGGGCTACATAGAAGAGGAAATCTGAACAAAAAGAGAAATATTGTAGAAGGGTCAGGGTCCTTTTAGGACTCGGTTCATTTGGGGAGGTGTTGGGAAAGGAGAAAGGCCCTTCAGACACTCATTTAGATGATCTGGAAAATCCAAAGTAGCATCTCCTGGTTAATCAGGGAGTGCACACACATTGACGCCTGTGTCTCGATTTGGTTAGCTTCCATGCATAACGTTCCCTTGAGAACCGACTGCATTATGATCCAATTGGAGACATATGGTGTTGTTAAGAAAAGAGTTAGCAGTTTTCATCTCAGCATGTAAGCTGCCCTTGAATTTTAGGAGAAATACTTATTTTTTTTTCTTTTAGCATAAAAGACGCTTTAAGACACTCTGCTCAGACCTATCATTGAATAAAGGGGTAGCATTATTAGAGGATTCTCCCCTTATTTGTCCCATTTGATCCAACGGATGCCTGTCTATCTAGAAGGCATTCAACCTAGGTGTGAATTAAATGGTTACATAAAAAAAAATTAAGAATGAGCAAATTATGTAGAAATTATTGTTGATTAACGTTATAATACATCTCAGGTTTTTTTTTTAGGTTTCTTCATTTTCAGAATAAGACATTGAAATCCTTCTTGACTTGATTGATTTGAAGCTGTACTATTTGGTTTTCGCCATAGAACATAGCTGACTAATACAATTTAATGCTAAAGACAAAGAAAGTCACTACAAATCCCCAAATGTCTGGGCATTCTTCCTGAATACACAGACTGTGATATCAACCTGTCTAATATCATAGCTACACCCAATGGAAACATTGTGAATAGCAAGAACCTGGTTATGAGTTTCTCACTTTTATCTCATGGGAACCCAAGAAGCAAAATAATTATGCTCAGTTATAAACTCTTTTTTTTTTTTTTTAAAGATTTTATTTATTCATCTGAGACGCAGAGATAGAGAGAGAGAGCATGAGCCGGGAGAGAGGCAGAGGGAGAGGGAGAAGCAGGCTCCCTGCTGAGCCAGGAGCCCGATGTGGGGCTCCATCCCAGGACCCTGGGATCATGACCCGAGCCGAAGGCAGACGCTTTAACCATCTGAGCCACCCAGGCGCCCCTCAGTTATAAACTCTTAAGAGATATAAGTTTATGCTTCTGAGATTTGTACTCAATGTAATAGAACTAAATACATGATATTGATCATCATTATTACTTGAATTTGCTTATTTATGCAATGCAAATCAAACAGAGTCAAATGTTAACAGAAGATATTTCATCTTTAAGTTTTATATGGAATAAAATAGGATGTAATGCAAAATGTGGGTATTTTGGTAAGTCCAGCAGTAAAATGCCCTCATTGAGTTGATTAACGAAGTCAGAATGGGTATGATCAAATATGAGTGTATGCTGTTTGCCCTTATTGGTCCTCACTGCTTATTTATTGTAGATGATTGAAATGTTATTTTCAAAAACTCATATCTTAATCCAATTCTCTATTCCAACTTGAAGACTGCAGGTGGGATGTCACTATAGGCCCTGATATCAAATTGAAAATGATTCCTCTGATATTTTCAAAAAAAATCACCAATTTCCTAACTTTTTCAATCCTAATGTAGCTTTAGAGAGACTGTCCTTGCTTGTGGGTATACTAATTAAAAGCAACTATAATTGATCTGACCCCCCTACAACTAAAATAGGATTCAAAAAAAATTATAAAAATCTCAGTGTTCTACATTATCAAGATTCGGCATCTTTGAATTCAGTTTGCAGTTTTCTGGAACTCACATTGATGGTTTCAATATAATACTTTAAGGTCGTGTGATTGATGGCCCCACAATGATCCAATAATGACCTGAGATTCTAAGGCCCTAAGAAAGCTGTAGAAAAGATTGCATGTTAAGTCAATCATCTTCTTATAGTAGACCCCGGCTTTTATCTTACGCTAAGCAAGTAGAGAACAATTAGTACCCAATTTGCATTCTTTACTTCTCCATTTAGAGATGACTTGGGGGAAATGTGCACGTGTCACTGGGCAAATATAGTGCCATTTTGGTTTCTGTCACTTTTGACAAATGATTTCTCTTAAAGGAGTTGCAAAGTTAATTATTTCCCTGAGATGATCATCTAGTTTCCAAATCCCATACTGTGTCATTTCTATATAAGAATAAGAAAAAACATCTAAATCAACCCAAAGCTTTGACATTGATCTGAATTTCAAATTAAAAAAAAAAAACATTATAGTTAAGGATATTTGCAAGGACATGTAACATTGACATTTATGTTGCTGCTTCCATTTTGATTTGTTAGTCTAGCAACAATTTTTTCACTAAATATAATTCATGATAGTATTTAATCTTGATTCCTGCTGACAGATTATGTGAGTTGGAAGGAAACTTTGTAGATTTCTTCTTTTGGTTCATGCTTTCTCTGGACTCCTCCTTTTTGTTCGTGAAAGATCTAATTTTAATGAATACATAATGGATCGTTAATGTGTATTAGAGCCTCCAGAACTAGTTCTGTTCACTTTGGATTATAACGTTGTCCCCAGATTTTGGTTACCTGGATCAATGAGGCTAAATATACATGCCAAAAAAATAAAGTTATTTGAATTCTGGTATATATGGTATGGGATCAGGCAGCTATGTTACTACTAGCAGGTGGGAAGGAGAGGCCAGCGTCAATCATGTAGCCATCTACAGGAAGCAATCATCTAGTATTTTCTCCCTCCCCTAGAGGGAAAAGAAAACACAGTGTTCCATAAATGTTGCATGTCCTACATATCGATCTTGATGTTTTCTGGACAAAATGAAGGATCATTAGTTCCTTGCCTGCCTAACCCCAGACATTTCTTTGTCCCATAATGAATTGCACAGCAATGTTGTGCAGCCCCAAAGCATTTCATTTTCAAACCTCTGGCAAAAGCAAAGGGTAAGTTCCCAGACACTTCAGGGATCTGTAGGGCATGAACTTGAAAGGTTCACTTCCAAAGAGCCCCTGGAGCAGAGTGATGCACCACGTAGAAAAGGCTTCCACATGTAAGGACATTTATTGATGAATGGATCACGCAGGCTAGTTTGTAGAAAAATAAATCACGTTTTGCTCTCAAACTAGACATGTGCCTGTATACACATTTTCCTATCAATGGAGCAGTCTTTCCAGAAGAAAATGGAATAACCCACTTTTAGTATGATTTTCTTACTCTTGAGGTAATTATATCTAATCCCAGTTGAACTTCAAAAAAAGTAGGGAAGGGTAGGGAGAGACCTCACCATATTTTGAGATGTTTCTAATTTTAACAAATCTGTGATCAACAGAAATGTAGACAACTAAGTGAGTGATAGAGGAATCATACTTTTCTAATAAATAAAATAAAACTGTGTGCCTTATTGATGCTTTGACACACAATCTTTCTATTGTGTGTTTATGAAAATAAAAATGTGTATGATTGTGGGTATATACATATATATTTCTTGTGAGTATGTGAGGAAAAATATTTAAGTCTGGTACTTCTTTAGAGAACATGAAAAGAAATGTTGTTTGTTTACCTTTAAACTTACCAGAGTAAAATATCAACAATGTACTTAAATGACATTTACATTTAATTAAAGACATGGTACAAAATTCTGAATGTTTGGCAATAGTATACAAATTTGTATCAGTGGACACTGTTGCAGTCCCTCACAATCAGTGTTTCCTCAGGGATAGCTGTCTATTAAGTCCACAAATGTAACAAATGTAGTAGTTGAGTATAAGGCGACAAATACAAAAGTGTTATGGTATACAGCTTAGCAAAAATATATTTTTTTTATGGATTTACTTGATTGAAACATTGCCTAACTCTGAGTTTTTCATCTTTGGGAAACTAGAACATCGTTTGCATAAGAAACTTTGTAAATACTACA